TTTCTCTGTGGCTTTGGAGGCTGTCCTGGAACTCGCTTGGTACTCCAGGCTGGTCTCGAACTCACAGAGATCCGCCTGCCTCTGCCTCCCGAGTGCTGGGATTAAAGGCGTGCGCCACCAACGCCCGGCCCCAATGGCTTTCTTATAGAACCCAGGGCCACCAGTTCAAGAGATGGCACCACCTACCATGGACTGGACCCTCCCACTTCAATCACTACTTAAGAAAATGTGCTACAAGTTTGCCTATAGTCCATTTTATAGAGGCACTCCCTTCCTTCCTTCCTTCCTTCCTTCCCTCCTTCATTCCTTCCTTTTTGTTTGTTTGATTTTTCAAGACAGGGTTTCTTTGTATAGTCCTGGCTGTCCTGGAACTAGCTCTGACAGGCTGGTCTCAAACTCACAGAGATCTGCCTGCCTCTGCCTCCTGAGTGCTTGGATTAAAAGCATGCACCATCACCACCCATCTTGGAGGCTTTTTTTTTTTTTGGTTTTTCGAGACAGAGTTTCTCTGTGGCTTTTGGAGGCTGTCCTGGAACTAGCTCTTATAGACCAGGCTGGTCTCGAACTCACAAAGATCCTCCTGCCTCTGCCTCCCTAGTGCTGGGATTAAAGGCGTGCGCCACCAACGCCCGGCTCAGTGCACACCTTTAATCCCAGCACTTGGGAAGCAGAGGTCAATGGATCTCTGAATTTCAGGCTAGCCTGGTCTAAAGGATGAATTCCAGAACAGCCAGGGCTATACAAAGAAACACTGTCTTGGAGAACCAAAACAGAAGGAAGAAGAAAGAAGGAGAAGAAGAGGAAGAAGAAGAAGAAGAAGAAGAAGAAGAAGAAGAAGAAGAAGAAGAAGAAGAAGAAGAAGAAGAAGAAGAAGAAGAAGAGGAAGAGGAAGAGGAGGAGGAGGAGGAGGAGGAGGAAGAGAAAGAGGAGGAAGAGGAGGAAGAGGAGGAAGATAAAAGAATTCAATTTTAAAGTGGAGTATATATCTATATCGAAACAACAAATTCTCTAAAGAGGAATCACAAATGGGTGAGCGCATTTAAATGTTTGACATCCTTAGTTATCAGGATAATGTAAATCAAAATTACTTTGAGATCTCATCTTACACCTGTCAGACTGGCTAAGGTCAATAAAACAAATGACCCCTGATGCTGGCAAGGATGTGGGGAAAGGCAAAGACTCATCCATTGCTGATGGGAGTGAAAACCTGTAGAACGATCATGGAAAGCAGAGTGGTGGTTCCTCTGGAAGCTAGGAATAGGTCTTCCTCAAGATCCAGCTATACCAGTCTTAGATGTTGTCTTAGTCAGGATTCCTATTGCTGTGAAGAGCACTATAACCACTGCAACTCTTATAAAGCAGAACATTTAATTGGGGTGGCTTACAGTTTCAGAGGTTCAATCCATTATTATCACAGCAGGGAGCACGGTGGTATGCAGGTGGACATGGTGCTGGCTACATCTTCATCAGAAAGCAACAGGAAGTGGACTAAAACAAACTGAGTGGTATCTTGAGCATACATATGACCTCAAAGCCCACTGCTACAATTACACACTTCCTCCAACAAGACCACACATCCTAATAGTACCATTCCCTTTGGTCATTTTCTTTCAAACCACCACAAGCATATGTCCTGCAACAGAGACACTTGTTCAACCATGTTCACTGCTCTGTTCATAATAGCCAGAAATAGAAAACAGCCTACATGTCTGTCAGTGGATTAATGGATAGAGAAAATGTGGAATATTTACACAATAGGATGTTACTCAGCAATTAAAAAAAAAAAACTGAAGTCACGAATTTCACAAGTAAATAGACACAGCGAGAAAAACATCATCCTGAGTGAGGCAAACCAGACCCCCAAAGATAAATATGATATGTATGCTGGCTAGTTCTGATGGGGGAAGTCCTGTGTATTTGTCAATAAAACACTGTTGGCCAATAGCGAACCAAGATAGGTGGGACTGGGAGTCCAGGAGGACTCTGGGAAGGAGAAACACAGGTAGTCAAGATGTAATGCCATGGGGTAGGAAGCCCGGAACTATTCTCCCGTAAGAGAAATACTTAGATGAACAATTATGGGGTAATTATTTAAGTCAGAGCTAGCCAGTAAGAAACAAGCAAGGCCAACAGCTTCATAATTAATACAGCGTCTTGTGTGTTATTGGGGACTACAGCGCGGCAGAGCCCAGGCACCTGGCGGGGGATAAACCAAAGCGGCTAGCAAGGAAAAGCTTTTCTTTACATAGTTCTATGTCAACTTGACACAAGCTAGAATCATGAGAGAGTAGGAAACCTTAATTGAGAAATTGCCTCCAGAAGTTCGGGCTGGAGGCACGTCTGTAGGGCATTTTCTTATTAATTACTGATAGGGGAGGGCCCAGCCCATTGTGAGTGAGGCCATCTTTGAGCTGGTGTTCCTGGGTTCTGTAAGAAAGCAGGTTGAGCAAGTCATGAAGAGCAAGCCAGTAGGCAGCATGCCTCCATGGCCTATATATCAGCTCCTGACTCCAGATCCCTGCTCTCTTTGAGTTTCTGTCCTGACTTCCTTCAGTGATGGACAATGATGTGTAAGAGTAAGCCAAATAAATCCTCTCTTCCCCAAGTTGCTTTGGTCATGGTGTTTTATCACAGCAATAATAACTCTAACTAAGACAGTAATGCTTGCTTTTATATGGATGTTAGCTGTTAAGTCTTTCATAAACAAGCTATGAGCTGTATAACCATGGATGCTAGATATAGTGTAAGAGACTATGGGACAGGGAAGGATCTTCCTAGCAGGAAAGATAATAGATAGTTGGGGGTGGGGAACTGGAATGAGAAGATCAAATGGGGAGGAAGAGCAAAGAGGGAGGTAAGGGAGTGAATTTGGAGAGGGATACCTAAAACTAAGGGCCATTTGAGCAGTTGTAGGGAAACCTGCTACAGTAGAAGCTTCTTAATATATATATGAAAGAAATCTAAATGGAATCACCAAATAATGGGGGAGACAAATCCCCAATTAGACATCACTTGCTACCAAACGAAACATCAAGCACCAAAAATGGACTGCATCTAATCAAGTTGTTGGCCAAGGAGGCCCAGGCTATTGACAAGGCAATATGCTGCTCTCCACAAACTGATAATAAGGCTCTATTGAGGAAGACAGAAGACAGAACCTATATAACATACTGAACAGAAGTCAAGCGGGTACCTAGATAGAGCTTTCACCCTTACTTACTAGTGTTTCATAGTACTGGAAGGTACTTTGCATGCCACCATAGGGAAAGGTAAACACTACCTCAGCTACAAACCCTGAAGTCTACAATGGTGACCTGCTTGTAAGACATACTGGTGCAATGTTGACACAGAGTTGTGGGGGTGACCAACTGCTGTTTGATTGGAATTAAGGTTCACTCTATGAGATGGACCCCATGCCCAACACTGCCTGGGTGACCAAGAACCTGAGACTAGATAGGCTGTGGACCCAGGGGGAGCTAAAGGAATGTAAAAATAAAATGCCTCCTAATGACATTCTGCTATGCCCATAGATTAATGTCTTGTTCAGCCATCCTCAGAAATGCTTCCTTCTACAGTAGATAGGAACAAATATAGAGACCCACAACAAAGAAAATATGCAGAGAGCAAGAGACCTTGGAATACTCAGTCCTAACTGGGATGTCTCCATCTAATACCTCTCAGGTCTCAGGGAATCTGAGGAAGAGGAGGCAGAAAGATTCTAAGAGCCAGAGGGCACGGAGGGCACCAAGGACACAAGGCCTTCTAGACACAACAGGATCAATGCATATGTGAACTCTCAGAGTCTGTGGTGTGGTGGTATTCATAAGACAGATAGGGTAGGTGATGGTTGTCTTGGTTGTCAAGTTGGCTACACCTGGATTTCACTAAAAAACCAAGTTCTGGGCACACCTGTGAGGGATTTTTAGTTAATTGGATCATTTGAGGCAGAAAGAATCACCTTAAATCCAGATCACTTTAAATCAGTGTTTGAGGTCAAAAGGACCACCCTAAGTCAGGTCACACCTTCTCATGGCAGCCTGTATAAAGGGCAAGAAGAAGGCTTTAGCTCTTTGCTTGCCCTCTCTCTGATTTCACTGACATTAGAGCCTACTTCTTCAGGATTCCACTGTCTACTGAAGATCAGCTGAGACATCCAGTCTTGAGGTCTGAGCAACTACTGGATTCTCAGACTTCCATTGATAGACAGCCATCATGGAACTATCACAACCACAGACTGTGAAACCACCCTTTTACTTATCTGTTTAGATGATTATATATATAATTTTATAATAAAAATATAAAATTCTATCATTCTATCAGTTCTGCTCCCCCAGAGAATCATAACTAACACAAGGTCCCAGTGCTGAGAGGGGAAGGAGACACAAACCTCCAGGTTTAACTCAGAAGGTATCTACAAAGGAAAAGAGGTTTTCTCCGATAGAGTCTCACTGGGTATACAAACCACACTTAAGCTATAATCCTAGAACTTTGGATGTAGAGACAGGAGAAACAGAAGTTCAAAGCCATCCTTGGCTACACAGCAAATTCAAGGCTATTCTGGGCTTTATGACATTCTGCCTAAAACCACACATACACAAACACATGCACACATACACATACACAGGCACACACACAGACAGGCATGCACATACACAAATACACCATACACACTCATATACCCACATGTGCACACACAGGTATGCTCATACACTTGCATACACACACACACACACATGCACACATACATGCACTCTCCACCCACCCACACACCAACATGAACATACACACATGCACATGGATGCATACACATGAATACACAAAGTTCCAAAATCTTTTTTTAAAGATTTATTTATTTATGTACACAGTGTTCTGTCTCCATGTCTCTCTGTACAACATAAGAGGGCACCAGATCTCATTGCAGATGATTGTGAGCCAACATGTGGTTGCTGGGAATTGAACTCAGGACCTCTGGAAGAGCAGTCTGTGCTCTTAACCTCTGAGCCATCTCTCCAGTCCCCTACAAAATCTTTAATAATATTTGTTTTTATTGTTTGCCTGAATGCATGTCTGTGCATTGTGTGTCTGTATTGCCTGAGATGGCCACAAGAGAGTATCAGATCTTCTGGGATTGGAGTTATAGATGGCTGTGAACAACTGTGTGGGTTCTGGGAATTGAACTTAGGTTCCTTGGAAGAGCAGCCAGTGCTCTTAACCACTGAACCACCTCTCTAGACCCATAAAATAAAATTTAAAAAGAAGATATAACAGTTATAAATATTTGTTCACTAAATATTGGAGTCTATAATTTCATAAAATAAACAGTAAATGCATAAAAGGCCATGAAATTCTTGACAGAATAACATTGAGGGCTTTGGATCCCACTCATATTTACATAGGTCTTTTTTTGGGGGGAGGTTGGTTTTCAAGACAGGGTTTCTCTGTGGCTTTGGAGGCTGTCATGGAACTAGCTCTTATAGACCAGGCTGGTCTCCAACTTACAGAGATCCCATCTCTGAGATGCTGGGGGTTTACAAACAACAGAGACTTACTTTTCACTGGTTGGGAGGTTGGAAAATTCAAGGTCAACGTGCTGGCACATCTGGTCTTTGTTTTCTGGTTCACAGATAGCTGTCTTCTGTGTCCCATGTGACTGAAATGGAAAGAGTGTTTCTGGAATGCCATCTTTATAAGGATCCCATTAATAAGACCTATTCTTATGACCTAATACCCCCCCACCTCCAAATACTACCACACTGGGGATTATGTTACACAATCTAAGCTTTGAGTGGTCATAGTCTGTAGCAGATTATAGCCTGGGCATTTGAAATAGTATGTCATAAGACACTGTGCCCTGTTCAATCCTAGGGAAGTATTGGTAATTTGTTTAAGTGAGCAATTGATAAGGTAGGTTTCAGGTCCCAAGTCCTGACCACTCTTCTGGGGTTTTGATGTTAGTCCCTTTCAAAACTGGTACAGTGCCACTCATCTCTGTCTCCCTTTGTGATGTGAAGTGACCAGTCTGGGATATGCAATGTGCTTTGTCCCACTGAGCAGTTCTTAGAGTCAGAGCTACACACACACAGCTTGGAGATGAGTGTGAGAGCTCCCAAACAGCTCCTCCACCTTCGTGGTCCTTCTGGGTATATTGAGGCTACTTTTTTTCTAGAAAATTGATTGAAACATAGACAACAGGTACTCTTCAGGCTGGGAACATGTGGTCTATGTTTCAATCAATTTTCTGTCACTGTAACTAAATAACTAAGAGAACAGCTTAAGGAAAGGAGGCTCCTTGGGCGTTGGTGGTGCACACCTTTAATTGGGAGGTAGAGGCAGGTGGATCTCAGTGAGTTCAAGGCCAATCTGGTGTAGAGAGTGAGGTCCAGGACAGCCAGGGCTACACAGAGGAAATCCTGCCTAGAAAAAAAACCCAAAATAAAAAAAAAAACAACCAAAACCAGGGAGAGAGAGAGAGAGAGAGAGAGAGAGAGAGAGAGAGAGAGAGAGAGAGAGAGAGAGAGAGAGTTTTGCTGCGGGCCTCAGAGACAGGTCAGCTGGCACTGTTTCTGAGTGTATTATATTGTAGAGAATCCTTGAAGGGTGTAAGTGAACAATACCCCTGCATCATGGCAGCCAGGGAATCCAGGGAGCATCTTTATTGCCAACTTCATAGAACCTAGAATCACCTGTGAGACAGGCCTCTGGGCATGCCTCTGTGTGTGTGTGTGTGTGTGTGTGTGTGTGTGTGGCAGGGTGGTTACTTGATTCACTACTTTAGGAGGAAAGACGCACCCACTGTGGGGTGACTGGGACTGGGAGGGGAGTCTGAACTCTGTGAGCGGAGGAAGCAGGCTGAGCAGTACTTACTGCTCTTGATTACAGCTGTTGATGTGAATAGCTGCTCCATGCTCTGACTGTCTTGCCTTCCCCACCAAGATGGATTCAACCCCTGAACTCTGAGTCATAATGAACCATTTCTTCCTCATGTGGCCTTTGTTAGGACATTTAATTGCTGCAACAGGAAAAGAAACTAAGAGAAGGTAGAGAAACAGGAAAGAGCTAAGGCAAGACAAAACCACTTTCCAAAAGTCTATTTAGTATGAACTCACCAACACAGTAAACAGTCGATAAGATTGGCATGAATTTTCCTGAGGAGACATGAACAAATATATTCATTAAAGATGGAATATCAGTGACAGACCAAAGATGATCCCACTTACGTTTAGCTTAGTGAGATGATGTGTTTCCTTGGTTACTTTTAAGAGCATTGTTGAAGTTTTTTTTATAGGAGAATGACTGATTTAAAGGCATCTGCACCACCAAAAAGACCACACCAATATGGATGATAAGTTACAGATGCTGCATCAATGGAACTCCCTATGCACTATGAGGGAACTCTCTCCCCCACCTTCCTCCTATCTTTCCACTGGTTATTGGTGCACATATAATCTTAGGGAGGGACTTTGTGAATCTTCTAAGATTCAGGAGCTTCCTCGGCCTTGTGAACTTTATTTACTTCTCCAGTCTTAGACACATACTCTATGAGCAAATGTTTCAGTTCAGAGCAAATAGCTGAGCAACATGTCTCCATGACTCAATCATCTCTCAATAAAGGAGTGAGCAATAGTTGGCTCCACCTGCTGGGACTAAGCCTTTAAGACAAGAGTCTTTGGGAGGACACAATATATACAAAGGATAAGATTTTTAAAAGATATATTTATTCATGTATTTTATTTGTATGAGTTCTGTCTTCATGCACACCAGAAGAAGGAATTAGATTCCACTATAGATGGTTGTGAGTCATCATGTGGTTGCTGGGAATTGAACTCAGAACCTCTGGAAGAACAATCAAGTGTTTTTAGCCACTGAGCCATCTCTCTAGCCCCCAAAGGATAACATTTTATTTTCTGCATTTTTGTTACACACTCCTTTGGAACAAAGCACTGGAGGACAGCATAGACCTTTCAAGCATCCTGGGAACCACAGTCTCTGTTCAGAGCCAAAGTTGATCTTCTGTGGCTCACAACACAATGCCAAGACTGGGTAAGCTACAAAGAAAAGAGTGTTGCTTTGGTTCATGTTTCTTATCCACATCTGGTGGTGGTCTTTTTGCTGGTCAAAACTTGAGGTGGTACAAGTTGTCTTGTGGCCAGAGAAAAGTGTAGAGATAGAACACAAGTTCAGAGAGGACAAACTATACTCAGGACAAACTATACTCAAACCAAAGCATTTAGTCTGGTGTTGATTGCATGCACCTTTAATCCCAGCACTTGGGAGGCAGAGGCAGGTGGATCTCTGTGAGTTTGAAGCCATCCTGGTCTACAGAGTGAGTTCCAGGACAGGCTCCAAGGCAATACAGAGAAACCCTATCTCGAAAAACCAATAAATAAATAAATACCAACAAAACAAAACAACCCCCCCCAAAACCCCACAGCATTCTCTCTCAGATTTTTGGTTCCTAATGACCCATTATTACAGCAACCAGTGCAGCTGTCACCAACCAAGAACTTCCCTACCAGATGGGACAAGAAAAATAATTACTGGAAAGATTGGAAAAATAAAACAAAGGCACATGTGGTTTTGTCCTGTTTGCTGTGGATATTAAGAGACCTCTCTTTGCTTCCCTTAGTTTAAATAAATCTTTGATAAGTAAATTAACTGGTAAGAGTAAGACTGTATTCAGAGGTGTTAACAGGGAATGGATAATTGAGCCCAGTGGTAAGTCTTCTTGAATAGGCACCATAATGGCCAAACCAAGCTGCCTTGGGGAGAGCAGTAGAAAGATCAGGGGGAGGGCTGCTTCTCCGGGTGTCTCACCTGTGGGATCAGGTGGGTGCCATGGTCCAAGGGAACTACCAGGAAAGGACTTGTGCAACCTTCCCTCCCCTATGTGCCAGAGGACACTGAGGCTGTAGAGACAGAAGGTGCCTATTCTAACTGCCATTCCCTGAGTAGTAGCAAAGCAGGGCTGGCAGGCCAGAGAGCCCGAGAATGTCCCCTTTCCACTCAGCTCAGCTGTGCCAGCATTCACCCGAAAGTATTCTTTTTATTTATTTATTTATTTTCTATTATTTAATCTCTCCTTTTGAAGTATGTCTCATAATGGCTTTGCTTTTGTTTATAGAGTGCTTGCTGGAGGTCTGAGGACCGTGTTTATGTTTCCCCAGCCAGTCTAAACAAGGTTTTCTTGATTATATTATTCGCCCACGTCTCATGTACTTCCCTCTCGTTCTCATGGTTAGGTAGAGCACCAAAAGCAAGTGACTGTTGAGTGCTCACACTTAAAATGGGACACCAAGATCGCCCTCTTCCTCAAGGCTCAGAGAACATCATGGGAAGGGGGCAGAAAGAAAGTAAAAGCCAGAGACTTGAGAAGAAGTGCCGTGCCGTTTACCAACAAACTCACAGCAGTGGTGATCACCCGCACAAGACCTGCACAAGATCCAGACTGTCACCTTTTCAGCAAGAATGGAGGAGGGGCTCATGAGACCCCACCCCTAGCTGAGGAAATAGTGCTTGTAATTTGTGCTGAGAGGGAAGTCACTTTCTTTTTAGGGATGCACTCACAGGTAAACTGACCATAATTCAGTAAATAATTCCACATTCATGTTCATGTAGGCAACCCTGATAAACTTTGTGGGTTTAAAACAAAAGCAAAAACTTGAAAAGCAAGATGGGGAAAAATGCTTTAGAAGGATTAGGAAGGCATATGAGAAGGAAACAGGGGAGAGAATATTATCAAAATACATTATCTCTATATAAGAAGTTATCAAAGAGCCGGGCGTTGGTGGCACACGCCTTTAATCCCAGCACTCGGGAGGCAGAGGCAGGCGGATCACTGTGAGTTCGAGACCAACCTGGTCTACTGAGTGAGTTCCAGGACAGCCTCCAAAGCCACAGAGAAACCCTGTCTGGAAAAACCAAAAAAAAAAAAAAAAAAGAAGTTATGAAAGACTAACATGGGTTTTGTCTGAGCTGCTGGCTGGTCAGGTCTATATAGGTCTGTTAGATGTGTAAATTACAGTGTTCACTGATTTCCCAGAATAAATAGAAGTGATCACACTATTTGGAGGGATGAAACTATTTCTGGAGTAGTTACAAGGAAAATTGTAAGCTTCAATCAGATGAGGCACTCAAATGGCACTAACATCAATGATTAGGTGGTCTAATCAAGTAGACACCTGTGTAGAACCATGTCTAAATGATTAGGGTGGCACTCAGTATTTTGCTGAGGAATCAGTTTCAGAGTGTGGGTTGTTTCTTATTAGGATTGGCTATGTAGAATATCATGGTGTGGGTCTGCTGTAAAGTATGGAATTTTCTATGGCAATGTCTTGGTGCCCTAAGACAGATTGAACTGGTCTGTTATAGTCAATTTCTGATGACATGCAGTTCCTGCTCAGAAGTAACAATGGCCTTGTTCCTACGCTACCCAACAATAGCATCCTTGTTCTGAAGCTACAATGGCTCAATACAGCCATCATCCTAGAATGGCAACAAAAGTGTTTAGTTTAAGCTTCTTATATACTATAAAAAGGAATAATATATATTTGAAGCTATCAACAAGTATAATCTATTATAAACTAGATACATAGCAGATAACTCAGAATAACTCTTCCTCCTCCTCCTCTTTTTCCTTCTCCTCTTCCTCCTCCTCTTTCTTCTTTGATAGGCTCTGGCTATGTAGCCTCAGCTGGCCTGAAACTTGTTATGATGTAGACCAAGCTGTACTGGAACTCACTATGTAGACCAGGCTGGGCTAGAACTCATTGACATCCTCTGTTTCCAGAATGTTGAGATTTAAGGTGTGCACCACTGTGCCTGCTTCAGTTTATTTTTCAAGATATGGTATCTTGCTGACCCAACAGCTTATCAATTTAACTAGACTGAGTGGCTACCAACCTTTCAGGAAGACTCATGTTCCTATCTTCCTGGTCAGGACCTGGAATTCTAAACACTAGTCCAGCTTTGTTTGTTTGTTTGTTTGTTTGTTTTTTAAGACAGGGTTTCACTGTGTAGCTTTGGAGCCTCTCCTGGAACTTGCTCTGTAGACCAGGCTGACCTCAGACTCACAGTGATCTGCCTGCCTCTGCCTCCTGAGTGCTAGGATTAAAAGCATGGGCCACCACAGCCCAGCTATGCCCAGTTTTTTATGTGAGAGATGTGGGTTGACATTTAGGTCCTCATGTTTGTATATAGTTACTTCACCCACTAAGCTGTCTCCCCAACTTCATTTCTTTTCTAGTCTACATTTTCTTTTTCTTGGTTTTTTGAGCAAGGGTTTCTCTGTATTGTTTTGGAGCCCGTTCTGGAACTTGCTCTGTAGATCAGGCTGGCCTCGAACACACAGAGACCTGCCTGCCTCTGCCTTCCGAGTGCCGGGATTAAAGGCGTGTGCCACCAACGCCTGGCTCTAGTTTACATTTTCAAACACTTTTTAAACAAGTCTCCAAGCCTTGCAATGTTGGCACAAGCCTGGACCAGGTCAGTGTGCATTCTGCAAGACTTAGAGAGACACCGGGAAGCGTTTGCATCAGGAGCATCCTGACATGTCCAGCAGGTTTTCAGGGCTATCCATGGTTTTCTTGTTTTGTTTTTTACTAGACAGGGTTTCTCTTTATTGTTTTGGAGGCTGTCGGATTATGCTTAGGAATGGACCAACCCATACATGAATGTTAAAGCTCCTGAATAAACCCCTCCTGCTTTGTTTATTCTGAAAGAGCACTGATTTGGACCGGACTCCTGTGCCATCCTCGTCTGCTGCAGTAATAAGGCTTCCTCTCCTCATCTGTGTCTCAGCTGTGCTTATTTGACTTTGCACGCACCGTGATGCAAGCTCACTGTGTTCAGTTACAGTGATATTTAAAATTCAGTAGCTTTGTCTAAGATGTCAATGTCTGCAGCTGAATGCCCAAGAACTGGCCCAGTCTTACAGCTGCATTCAGTGGGTGAAATGGTATGAATGCGTGTATGTATGTGTGTGGGTGGAGTATGCACTGACTCCCATCTTCTTGGAATATTCCTGTTGGAGACTGTCCTCCACCAGGATGCATGAGGGCACTTCAGGATCTATGTAGTCTTGCTCTTCTTTCATCTTTCTGTGTTTGAGTCAGGGTCTCACTATGTAGCTCTGGCTGTCCTGGAACTC